GAAGTGATTTGTATATAACTTTATAAATAGATAGGTGCAGTGGTTATCATCGATCACGGGAGAGATTACGAATGTATTTGATCGAATGTATTGTTGCGATATTCATTGGTGATNTCTAAAGACGTTTTGCCTAAGGACAGTTTGCCTACGCATGGTTTTTCAATGGATATTTGCCTAATCAGTGATAAACAGATAATGTAACTCAGTAGAATGCCAACGAAGGAGGATATTGGTGATACAGTGATATTGGTGATAACAGAGAGTCAGGCATAAACTCGTTATGAGTTGTTGCATTTGCTGATTAAATATTTTGCCTAATAAGCAAACTGCTGTCCTTACAATTAGGCTTAGGCATTAACGTTTTCAGACAAATTGTCCGATCACATTTGATTCTGATTGGTTTGATCTATTGTTTATTGATTATCGATACGCATTTCGTGATGTTTGTGTTTTGAGCGAATTTCGGATCATCTTAAATGATCCGGAAATTTGATCTTCAGATGCGATTGAGAATTGTTACGATTGGTTATTGATTGGTATCATTATCATTATTATTGCTTTTCAGCGAATTATCTCGAGTGAATACGAACAATTTAGAGGTGTACGAAACGGAATAAAAATGGTGCTGGTGATTGGATGAAGTGGTTTTGAATTGAAGTTTATGTGTAGGTGTGATTTGTATGTGAGTTACGATGACGATGATGCAGTGTTATTGTTGGCGATACTCGATTTTATTTCTTGTTCTGATCATCGACTTCATACCGGTTAGTGCTTTGTGCTGATGCTGCTGCTGGTGGTGGTGGTGTGCTTTTGGTACCTTTCTGGTACCACTGTGCTTGACCACTAGACATTGGACTTGTTAAATAGCCAANTTAAGTAGCCAATTGCATCTAGCCAATTTGGATGTCTCTTTGAAGAAGCATAAAATTCGGTGTTTCGCGACCTCGCCAAAACTTCAGTTAACATTACAGTCGAAAGAACAACGTGGAGTAGGTCACATCTTGATGTGAATATCATCGAGTGAAAAAATGGCTGAAAATTAAGTTTAAGTTAGTCTAAAAGCACACTTAGTGTCCAAAACTGACGGAGTAAGGCATTAAACTGAAGCGTAAATATCTCAGCCTAAGTGCCCACATGAGGCTTGATCTGGATTCGAACTCGAAATCGACAAGCAGTTTGTAACATCGCACTTTTGGACACTTGATCAATATTTGATCAATCAAATATTGATCCTCTGATACTGATCAATGTTTGATGAGTGGCCGTGTTGAAGGAGCAATGTTCAACGTTGGCATCAGCACACGAAGATCACATACCGATTGAGTTGAAGCTGCGATCGGGCAAAATTCGTGGCACCGAGTCGATATTTTTGCATAGGCGAGTACGCGCCTTCTTGGGCGTTCCGTTCGCCGAACCGCCGATAGGTCGGCAACGATTCCGAGCGCCCACACCGAAACAGCCCTGGAATGGTACCGTAAATGCGACACGTCTCGCACCTGCTTGCTATCAGGTAAATTTTCAGCTGAATCACCACAAATCACAACATCAACTTGAAGTGTAATCAGTAACTTAAGTGCCTCTAGTGAGCGTGCTTATGCCTGATTGCATCTCAAGAGCCTATGGCCTATATCTTTGTGTGTGTGTGTGCATATTTTAACATAAAACTTTGGCAGTTGCATTCAGGGTCGTGATACCTACAATGTGACATTTTGGGGATCGGAGATGTGGAATGCGAACACCGAGAATACGGAGGATTGTCTCTATTTGAACATTTGGGCACCTGCCGAAGCACAGTATGTTCGTTGCTATTTATTCACTGAGTTAGCGCAAACTAATGCTATGTGATCTATCATCTGGAGTGTATATCCCGAGAGCATACGAACGCACGTCGTCCATGAGATTTAAGAGATTTAAGCTTAACTGCAAACAATATGAATAAACCAATCTCAAAACATT